GAACCTGGCCATCGAGACGGGCCGCCAGAGACAAACCTGGCTTCCTAGAGAGGAAAGGATCTGCTCACTTTGTACATCACAGGAAATAGAAAATGAACAACACTTCCTCACAACATGTGAAAAACACAAAGATCTAAGAGAAAACTACAAATTACTGAAACCTATAAAGGAAAACTTCCATACCTACTAGGTGAAACACAAAGATGTGAAATAATTACAGCTAAATATACACGTACATGTCAAAACCTGAAGACAACCAGAGGAACACAAATATGAAACCGTCATACCGTTACTATAGCGACAATGTTATTATTGTTATGGTTCTTTGTTTGTTTTCTTTTAATGTATTACTGTTGCTTTGGTAATATGAACATTATTCTTTCATGCCAATCAAGCCAGTTTGAAACTGAAAATTGAAATTTGAAAATTGAAAATTGAGAGAGAGAGAATCAATAATGAATTTAGGGCTGTCCCCAACTAACGATTGACATGGTCCAATCAGAATTGTCAAGTCTTGCCCAAAGTCGACTGATAGTGGAATCAGTGTGTGTTTGTGCACGGCGATTGTGGGGGATTGCAGCCTCTATCATCATTAGTCAGTGTAAACATTGTACATTTAACGTTACAGATAAACTGAGGCTTGCTGTTGATCATTTCCTCTCAGCTCTGCTCGCCGGCCTTTCACCGGTCTTATGCAGAGTTTTTCATGCGTGCCGTGCGGCCTACAAATGCATGCACGTTGCGGTTCCTTGCGGGTCTATTTCAAGTACTATTTAAAATAAATATAATATTCTATGTGTGTTTATCAATGGTGAAAACTGATCCGAAAGTTTGACAGTTGAATCAGACTCCGCCCATCGAAGCATCAACAGTACAGGAAGAGAAAGAGGCTGACAGGAAGACAGAGAGACTCCAGAGAAAGATGAGTTACTACCTTGAAGTTTTGTTGAAGCATCATTGGTTGTTGATTTTGTGTTTTCAGTTGTTGTGGTTTAGTTGTTGCTGGTTTAGTTGTTGTTGTTGTTGTTGCTGGTTTAGTTGTTGCTGGTTTAGTTGTTGTTGTTGTTGCTGGTTTAGTTGTTGTTGTTGTTGGGTTAGTTGTTGTTGGTTTAGTTGTTGTTGTTGTTGCTGGTTTAGTTGTTGCTGGTTTAGTTGTTGTTGTTGCTGGTTTAGATGTCAGAGATATTGCGAGAGAAAGAAAACAAGAGTAAAGTTCATCACTGTGAAAAGTCATCAAATAAACAAATGTTTTGGTGGTTTTAATCATCTTGAACAGGGGTGTGTTTCCCAAAAGCATCGTTGCTGACTGCGGTAGCAACTTCCTTGGTTGGAACTTTGCAGTTGCGACGCAACTGTTTCCTAAAACCCTAGTTGGAACTACGGAGGTAACTAAGTTGGTAACTTACACGGTACGAACCATCGTTAAGCGACTGTGACACCTACAAATATGTTGTCACAATTGTTGAGATATTTTGTGTAATAGCCTGTAAGAAAGGGGCATAATGTGAATGTATTTTGCGCGGGGTTTGAGTAGTATTTCTGAGGGTGTAATTGCTTAACGACGCCACAAGAGGGAGTGTCCTCTTATGTGAGCGCTAGTAGGGCCGCCAGGTAACAGCCTGCTGAACGACCACAAGTGACATCTCCTGTCTCTGCACAAAACAGGTTAGTAATGTGTGATATTTTGCTGCAATACATCTCTATGGACTTTTAAAGCCTTATTATGTTGTTCTGACAACGTTTGATGTGTAAAACAGTGGTTTATTCAGTTAATTAAAAGTGTAGCTAGCACCTGTGTAGAAAGTGTAACCAACATGGCGGCCTTCCGACGTTTGTAGTGTTTATGGTCATTGCTCCTGGACATTGCACTTTTTTTGTATTTGCTAAAGCTAAAGGTTGAGCTACGATTATTTAAAGTTTGTTGAGTTGAGGATGTGTCAAGTCCTGCATTCAAGTCCTGTCACCGTAATAATACTGAACAGTGTAACATGTTGATAAGGTTAAAAAAAACGTGTCTCTTGTATAATGTAGGCCTCTGTATTGTTTTTATATGTATGTGAGAATGTTGTGGAAGTGTGAAACAAGTAGGCTTAACAGTATCAAAGATACTGGATCTATACGATTTTGGAGCTAGTAAACAGCAGTAAGTGTGAGTTACAGTACCAGCTATTTCTGTTGAACTGATATATAATTTGTAAAATATGTTATTCCAGCGGTTTAATGCATTAACTTCCATTCTGTTAGTGGGAACCTAAAGTGTAATTTGTTAAAAGGAATGTGGTCAACGTGGTTTAAGTGAAGGAGGGAAAAAAGAGATAAATTCTGTAATAAAGAAAGAGATCAGCCTGCTGAACGATAACAAGTGACATCTCTGTCTCTGCTTTTCTCTACAAACAGGACACAATATGTTCACAGGTAACTCTTGCTTGAGGCCTGTAACACGACACAGGTGTTTCCTAAAACCCTAGTTGGAACTACGGAGGTAACTAAGTTGGTAACTTACACGGTACGAACCATCGTTAAGCGACGCAGGTGTTCCCTGAAACCATAGTTCAGACGAACGTTCGCACCAACTGTTGTTAAGTTGCATAGTTGGAACTACAGCTCCTGACCTGTGGTTAGAAGCTTAGTACACGGTGACTACGTCACAGAGAGCAGAAAATGCAGTGTTAGGAGGGGATGTGATGTGTTTTAAGCAGGGAATGTTAGATAATCCTGCTGTACAAAACATGTTTAAGGTGAATTTAAAAAAAAAACTGTATTTGTAAAAGTACTTTTAAATGTATTTGTGGGGTCATGGGTAGGGTTGCATTGATTCAGTAGGCTACTAAGTATCTCAGTGTAGACCATCTACAAACAGCAGGGTTTTTCTCACAGATTACCCGTCTGCTCACAATAACTTAATTTAATATTAGTCACCCAGTACAAAGGTTAAAGGACAAAACGGAGAATGTAAAGACAAGACTTTTAATATTACCTACATGTATACGTTTCTGGGCCTCTGGGGAAGATGGGTGTTCTCTAGTCTTCATTACAAACATAAAAAGGGACAGCATAAAATCCATGAAAGTACTGTAATGAATAAATCCCTGAGAGTTTTCGTTGCCTTTATAACAAAGATAAATAGAGAACTCACGGGAGTCGTATCTGTCTCAATAGAGAACATGCGTAAGCTCAGACACTTAGCGCACTGAGCTGTTCTCAAAACCTAGATGTCAGATGCCAAGGGATTCATAATAGTGTTACAGTGTTGACACAAAGATACTAAACCTTTTACTAAATGTCTTGTAATCGCTAATAGTTCTTAATTTTTCTTCTAAGTTCTAGCCGATATTTAGGCTAAATAAAATGATTAGGTTATATATTATTTATATTGTTGATTTTCTTGT